ATTTGAGTTGCAAATAATATAAATCAATTTTATTTTAACATCAATTTTTATATTACAAATGTGAATGGTTATTATGTAAATTATTTTTTGTCATTAAAATCTATATTAATAAAATTTTAAATCACACTTATTGCTGAAGGTAAAAATTAAAATTACAATTATTAAATTGTCCTTGTTGAAATACTTTTAAAAAATCCTCCAAATTACTATTTATATTTAATGTTTGAGATTCTAAAAAAAAATTAAACAGTTTTTTAATTTTTCTATATGAATTTTTAAAGAATCAATTTATATTTTACCTTGTAATAATGTTTTAGCAGTTTTAAAAATTGGTGTAGTAGTAGAATTTGCTGGAAGAGAATTAATAGATATTGTTGAAGGAGTATTAGATGATGTTATTGGAGATGAAATAGAGATAGAATTTGATGAAGAATTGTAATCAAGGTCTTGGTCAGACGTAGGTGTAGAAATAATTGATGAAAATCCATTGGGTGGTGTGGTTTAAATAGAATTTTCTATAAATGAAAATATTGTTTGATTAATTATTTATTCATTTAAATCAGATAAAAAATAATTAAATATTTTACCTTCTTTGTGTTTAGTATATTTATTAGTCACTTCATACTATTAACTTGCAACTTATCTTTGGATCTTTCATAACTAGCTAATCCTTTTAATGATTTATGTCTGGAAATTGATATGGTTTCAATATCTGTAGTACCAACATTTTCTTTAAGATTTCGAATTAAAGTTTTTCTGCCAGAATGTGTAGTTATTTTTCTATTACTCAAATCAATACCACTTTGAATGGCTATATTTTTCAACCATGATTTTAGTTTTGTTTGGCCAATATGTGTTGATTGATACCAATGATCTAATAAAGTCCATTCTAAGAAATACAAATTTTTTTATCATGATAGCAAATTAGTTATGCTAATATGAATTGGTATAGGTATCAAAAATGTTAACCTTCGTCTCCTTTAACAGGATGTAGATAAAATGCTGGTTCTGCATTTTTGGGTCTTTTGGAAAAATATAAATCATAGTCATCCATTATTTCTTTATCATAAGGAATCAACAAATTATCAGCAAGTCCACCCGAAAGTCCTCTTTGGTTAGCTTTAGATAAATATATCAGCACTTCAAAAGAACCATCTTGTTTTTTTATAAAATGATCTATCTGTAAATTATAATGTTCATTGAGACAGAGGCCAAGTAAGTTACAATTCCTGAAGAATATTCTGTTCAGAAGACCTATAGGATTTGTTTTGCTAGTATAAGGATGTTGAAGAATGCTGATAATTTCGCTTTTGGTAAAAGAATCTGAGCCATGGCTTTCTCCATTACCTAATTCATCAAGATGCCGAAGCTTACCATCAATAACTTCCCACAATTTTTTAAAGATCTGTTTGTTATAAATATCAATCCTGTCAATAACACTATTATTTGCTAGATGTCTTGCTACAGCAGATACAAATGTTTTAATTGATATTGACGAATAGTCACTTCCATCATCTCTTTTCATTTTAATTATATAATTAATTAGTTGCCTTTCTAGATCATTAATATTATCAATATTTTCTATTTTACAATTACAATTACAATCCTTTCTAAAATTTTCTAAATGGTTAATCCAATTTTTTGTTGAGTTGACTGTTCCTTTTCTCTTGGATTTATTTAAAAAGTATTCAAATTCACTGTCACTAGGTTCGGAATATATAAACGTCTAACAAAAGAAAAAAAATAAAAAAAAAAAAAATATATATATGCACTAATACAATTTAAGGCAAAAAAATATGTATGTGTTTTACGAACTTTTCCAGCTTTACCCATATTACTGTTATTATATAATCTTTAAATTAGAAGAAATTCGAATAAAATACAACAAAAAAGTTTAAAATATCAGTGCATGTTATGCAAAAATTATCATAGCTCAGTTTCACAATATAAACGTTATTGTATGGATATTTAAAAATTCGTATAAGCTATGACTGCGTCATAGCTTGCACGATATTTTTAAACACCCATACAATAACTAGTACATAGCATCTTAAAATTTATAAAAATTTATTTAAAAAAATTAAAAAAAAAAATAAAAAACAAAAAAACAATTTTAAATCACCATTTTTCTTAAATAATATTTTTATAACCAATAAAATGACTACTAAAAATTTAGGCCCATGCAATGTTTTAAATTGTGAAGCAAAATGTTAAATTTAGAAGATTCACCAAAGATGGTTTAAAAAATGCTAAAAATCATGGCACATATGAGGATTATAATTACCTTGAAATTAATGATCAACTTTGTCCTAAACATTACTTATCAATTGTACAATCAAGTAGAAATAAATCAAATAATCAAAAAAGAAAGTCAATAAAGCTTACTTGTTACTCTCAATTAAAATTTTACATTATTGGACAACAATAAATTTTTTTTTTTTTAATTTATTCGATTGCTCTTTTTAGTATTTTGACATGTGATACAAAAACATTTTCTTATAAAAAAAATAAAAATGAATTTAAATTATTTTCAAGATTCTATAGAACAAGCTAATTTGGTTAATAATAACAATAATATTTTAGAAATACAAGTTGATCCTTGGAACACCAATACTTCTTTAGACTTTAAAACTATTATTTTTCCAGAAAACAACAACAGTATCGACAGCAGTTTATCATCATTAACAAACGCTTCAGTAAAATTTAAAAAAACCAGCTTTCCTCGTAAATTACCTCTTACTCCAACAACTGAACATCCGCTTGATCAACCCACAGATTTACCAGCTGCTACATTAATAACATTTTCAAAAAAATTTATTTTTAATTCTAATAAAGCTTATTTACCTACTTATTTAGAATGTTATGATGATAATGGTTTGAAATTAAGAGATTATGATTATTCGTTAATTAAAGATTTAAAAAAGCAACAAAATAACAATAATAGTAATAATATAAATGAACATTCAGAAGGAAAATCGTCATCAATTGATAATAGTTTAGAAAATAAACTGGTTGCCGTACATATTGTAAAACCTTCTGACACATTGCCAGGTATTGCATTACTTTATGGAATTGAGGTTTGTGAATTATTATTATTATTATCTTATCATCTCTTTTTTTTTTAAGAAAAAAAATCAAAATCAATATTTATTAATTGATTAATTAATTTAATTAGTTATCAGCACTGAAAAGAGCAAATAAATTATGGACAAATGATTCAATTCATACGCGTAAACATTTATATATTCCTCTTGATCAATGTAAAGTTATTCATGATGAATCAAAAGCAATAATAGAAAGTGACTTTAATCATATTGTTATAATGAATCGTAGTAGTAGCAATCCAATAATTGCTAATTCTTTATCGTCGTATTCTTCTTCGTCATCTTCATTTTCTTCATCAAATACATCATCTCCCTATATAATATCATCATCATCATCAACATCTTCTTCACCCAGATCTTCTTTTACAATTCATGATAGAAAATTATTATCACTATCAACGGCGGATACAACACCTGCTGGTGGTAATGGTTCAACTGTTATCACATCACCTTTAACTAAAAATACTAATAGTAATAGTAATGATAATAATAATAATAATAACAATGATAGTAATAATAGTAATAGTAATAATAATAGTAATAGCAATAATAATAATGATAATAATGATGATGATGATGATGATGATAATAATAATAATAATAATAATAATAATGAACTTGTTATACCTTCACCAAGTTATTCTTTTATTAATACAAAAGTTTTTATTAGATCTGAAATATTAAAATTACCCACAAAAAAATTATCTTATTTTCCATCATCTCAATAATAATAACTATCGTCATCATCATCAAGAATAATTACAAATAATAATCACATTATATTTTTAATATTTTCAATTTCCACCTATGTATATTATCTTCAATTAAAAATAGAATAATGACTACATTACATCATTTATATTTATTATTCATATTTTGGATTAAAACATTAAATTGGTCAAATAACAATAGTTGTTATTTATATGTACAATATTTGTATATAAATATTTGGACGATTTCAGACAAACAAATGGTAACAAATGCTTTTTTTAGATTTATTTATTATTTTATTATTTCAAAATAATAACATTAATTTTTTTTTAAAGACGACAAGAAATAAGATTATAATAAATGTATGTATGTATGTATGTATGTATGTATGTATGTATGGTGGATTGGATGTACGGGTAATCATTAGAATTAACAATAATATTTTTATCATTTTTATTTTTGTAATAAATAATACAAGCACAATTAATAATTATAATAAATAAAAAAAAAAAAAAAAGAATGAAAGTGACAAAATTATTTTGTCAGCTTTAATTCAGGTAAATCATAATATAATGATAGGCTATCAGGATTTGCTAATGTTCCAGATACTATAACATTTTCACCTGAAATTATTCTTTTCACTGCTACTTCTACCTTTTTACCATTCATGGTATACTATAAAATAAATTAATAAATAAATTAAATTGATAATATAAATAAAAATTAATATTCTCATTCTTTCATAAATGAATATACATACCGGAATATCTTGAATAGGTAGAATAACAGAAGGAACATGCCTTGGGCTCAATTGATCTCTAATACATTTCTTAATCTTACTAATCAATCCGTCATTCAATTCCACATCATCATTCATCACCAAAAATAAAACAACTCTTTCGTCATCCTCCACAATTAATTTCTGACCAACCACTAAACTATCTTTTACTAAATCATTAAAATTACTTTCTATGACATTATAAATTTCCGCGCTACCAAACCTTACACCTCCCGGATTCAATGTACTATCAGATCTACCCAACATTATAACACCATTATTATTATAATCATGATTGTTATCGTTGTAAATGTTGACATCTGGATTATTTATTATTACAAAATCTCCATGATACCAAACTGATGAATAACGGGAAAAATAAGTTGATTTATATTTAGAATTATTAGAATCATCATTCCAAAAATATATCGGCATACACGGGAATGGTTTTACACAAACCAAGTCTGCCGATTTTCCATAAACCGGTTTTCCTATAATTTTTTAGATTATTATTATTATTTGAAAAATTACATGTGTATATATAAACACGCCACTTATAAAACATACCCTGTGCTTCCCATGCTTCAATTTTCATACCTAAACAAACACATTGAATTTCACCTTTATAAACCGGTAAAGTAACATTATGTCCTGCAAATAATGAACATATATCTGTTCCGCCTATATGTATATAAATTCTTATAAATATATATTTTTTATTAAATTTTAAATGATTAATTAATTAATTAATCTATCTACCTGTAATCGATCCTAATAATATATCATCTTTTACTTCTTTATAAATAAAATCAAAACTTTCAGGCTTCAAAGGTGATCCGGTCGAAAAAATTATACGCAAACTATTTAATTTATGGTTATCTTTGGGTTTGTAATTTATATCTTGTAAGCTTTGTATATATTTTGCTGATGTCCCAAAAATTGTTATTCTGATGAATAGATGAATTAATTAAAAAATTATAATTATATAATTATATAAATAGAATATAATATATGCACTCACATATATATTTATAAAATTTACCCTAATTCATCAACTAATTCCCACAGAATAGAAGGTTTTGGTTGAAAGGGAGAACCATCATAAAGCACCAAAGTACAACCAACAAATAAACCTGACACTAACCAATTCCACATCATCCAGCCAGTTGTTGTATAATAAAAAAACACATCATTGCTATTCAGATTTCCATGTAATATATGTTCTTTTTTATGTTGAATCAACATTCCTCCTGATCGATGAACTAAACATTTGGGTTTTCCTGTTGTACCCGAAGAAAATAATATGTATAGTGGATGATCAAATGGTAATTGTTCAAATATTAAATCTTTTTTTTTCAATAAAGGATCTTCACATGTATTTAGAAAATCATTCCAGCTTATTGCTAATGGTATTGAAGATATATCACTGTCGTCGGAAGTGGTAGAAGAAGAATCAGTAACAAATGGTATGATTATAACTTTTTCTAAACAACCTCCTCCTTGTTTTTCTTCTACTAAACTTTCTACGACTTTCCTTAATTTTGATAAATGATCATGTGTTTTATTATTATAAATAACTGCGTTAACCGAAAGTAATATTTTTGGTTTAATCTGTAAAAATCTATCTAATACAGCAGTGACACCAAAATCTGTCGACGTGCTACTCCATATTGCTCCTATACTTGAGGCTGCTAACATCGCTATAACTGCCTCTATACAATTGGAAATATACGCGCAAACTCTATCTCCAACTTTAACACCAGCTAATCTCATTGCTGAAGCTAAATGATTAACTCGATTATATAGTTCTTCATACGTTATTCTTATCGGAATTCTACCTTCGCCTACATCATGATTATTAATTTACATATAAATACAAATTAATGAACGAGTGAATAGATAAATTATAATAATCATCATCGTCGTTATTATTATAAATACCTGTAGAGATCAATGCAATTTTATTTTTATCTCGACATCGTAATAAATTTTCAGCAAAATTAAGCTTTGCTCCAATAAACCATGATGGATTTTGATCCATCGGTTTTGATTCTTCTAATACTTGTTTATATGGAATTGAATAAATTATATTTGTAAAATCCCAAACCATTGCCCAAAATTCTGAAATGTTTTCAGTTGACCATTTCCAAAGTTCTTGATAATTTCCTAATAAATAAATAAATTTAATCAATATAGATTATTTGGAAAATTTTTTGGTGTTAAAGAATATAATTATTTCATCTTTTACCCAAATTAATATTAAATTTTTTATTAACGGCCAATCGAAACTTTTCCATTTCAGTATTTTTAATGTCTTTTGGTCTCCATAATTCAACAGGTCTTTCAAGCAATGTTGTTGAAGTCATTTTAAAACACTTTACCTGGTGTCAACATGCACGTGTTACAATAATTGTTTGAGAAGTACACAATAACGAGAATTTTCCAAATTAGAATCGGCAATTTTATTTTAGTACTATTACTATATAGTACTAGTAAAAAAAAAAACCCTTCAAACTTCAACAACAAAATTCCTATAATTAAATTAAATAAACAATCTTTAGACTTTAAATACAAATATATATATTTATATTAATGGAACATGTAAAGCTTAAAACATTTGGCGAAAATGTGGAGGAAGATGCAGATGATTATTCAGAGCTGGTGTCATTTAAAAAAGAAAAATCTAAAAAGCATGATGTTGAAAGATTAATAAAGATATCAGCCATGGCTTGTGCTTGTACATTTGGAGTTGGAAGTCATTTTGCATCACATATTATAGGTCCTTTAAAAGGAATATTAATGGAGGTAGAATATCAAGTTCAAAAATACTGTAGTTTTCTATATATATATATAAGTTATATTTACAATTCTTTTTTTTAAACAAATATAGCAACTTGATTTAACAAATACACAATTTTCATTATTGGTTGCTTCATTTACTTTATGTAATACTGTAATACCAATAGTTTCGGGTTTGCTTGTAGCGAGGTTTGGAACTACAACAAGCTCTTTAGTAACTACAACTATAATTTTAATAGGAATGATAATTGTAACCGTAGCAAGTTGGACCGGTGAAGTCGTTTCTATGATTATTGGATTTATGGTGTTTGGGTAAATTTTCTTGTTATTTATTTAAAAAATTAAGTTTTAAATATTCAGTCTAAAAAAAAAATATATATATGTAATAATAGTATGGGTTTGGCTCCTTTAACTATTGTTCAAGAAACAATTATTGTACAATTCTTTCAAGGGAATGGATTAGGGTTTGCTTTGGCTGTTGGACTGATATTTGGAAGATTGGTAAGTTGCAAAAAAATGAAAGTATTTTTATTATTGCCATTATATATATATATATATATATATATATATATATATACACTGTAATAAGCTCACAACAAATTATTATTACTGTTTTAGGCATCATTTTTTGCAACAATTTTGGCTGTACCGTTATCTTTAGTGCCACCATTAACATATCGTACACCATTTTTTGTAGCAGCATTTACATGTTTTGTTTCTTGGATAATGAATATAATATATATATTACTTTTGAGATATGCCGATAATAGAAAAAATCATAATAGTAAGAGAAATAATAAAGAGGATGGCGAAGCAGTTAATAAAATAATCGAAAAGAAAACAGTACATTGGGATGATATATTTCAACTTTCCGATCTTTTTTGGTGGTCTCTTGTTGTAGGATTATTACTTGGAATGACTATCTCACCATTTGTTCATTTATCAAGGTAAATTTTTTAAATTTTATATTAATTAATATTAATTAAACAATATAGTTATTCAATTGATTGATTGATTGATTGATCTAGTAATATAATAAAACATCGATTTGACACAACGGATATGATGGCAGCATGGGATTCATCTATAATATTATTAATACCCGTAATTTTATATCCATTTTTGGGATTATTTTTGGATAAATATGGATCGAGATTATATATATGTATGAAAAATTTAATATCATTTTTTTTTTAAAAAAAAAGAAAAAAGCATTATTAGCACAGATTAACACAATATATCTTTTTATTTTTATTTCTATATCTATATTCATATAGTGGTTGCTGGTTCTGCGGCAATTTTAACGACATATTTGTTATTTTTACTACCGCCACATTTGATTCATCCATTTCCACCAATTCTACTTTTTGCATTCGCCTATGGCTCAATTCCATTAACAACCGTCTCTCTAGTACCATTATTAACAAAACATGTATCTACAGGACTTGGATTATTAAAAAGTGTTGATAATATTGGTGCAACATTAAGCCAGACATTTGCAGGTCTATTATTAGATCAACATGTCAAAGGGAAAAAGTATGAAATCGATGATGATGGGATTGAGTATGGGCACGAAGATGATGATTTAGTAGCTGTAAGAATGTTTGCTTTCCTAGCTTTTCTTTTGTTATTAAGTAATTTGATATTTTGGTGGGCGGATAAGAAATATAAAGGTGGTATTATGAATTCGAATGATGATGGTAGCAAAAGCCATAATAATGATGAGGTTCTTCATGACTTTGATAGTTATGGTAAATTAAGAGATGAGGAGGATGAGTATGAGGAGGATGAAGACGATGAAGGCGATGAAGTTACAAAAAGAATGATAGAAGTGAGTAGTAGGAGAAAAATGCGAGAAACAACTTCAGATGATAAAATAACATTTGGCAAAACCATATCATTAAGAAAGAAAATAAGGACAAAAATTTACATTGGACTGATTGCTTTAATGTTATTGATTTGTTGGGTTACCTTTGCAACCGTTGCTTTTGAAAAGGCCGGAGTACATGCTACTGATGATGATAATAATAATCATTCATGAATTTAATTACATTTACTTGTAGAGAAAAACTTTAGATTCTTTAATCACAAATATATATAATCATAATAATAGCATACATCATACTCAATTTTTTTATTTTTGCATTTTAATAGACTTTTTAGCACGATTTCAAATATCATTAAAGAAAAAATTTTTTTTAAACCCTAAATCCGCTAGCATAGTGACACTGTTGCAGATCACAAAAACAACTATTTCATTGGCCAGATTTTGTCGATCTTATTTCCAATTATCACATAAAATATAATTTTGATTGGTTTGACGATTATTACACAAATTCTAAAAATAAAAAAACGCGGCCGATTAAAAATTTATTCCTGAATAATATGAATAATATTAACATATAACATCTTAAAATTTATAAAAATTTATTTATAAAAATTTATTTAAAAAATAATAAACAAAAAAACAATTTTAAATCCCCATTTTTCTTAAATAATATTTTTATAACCAATAAAATGACTACTAAAAATTTAGGCCCATGCAATGTTTTAAATTGTGAAGCAAAAGATGTTAAATTTAGAAGATTCACCAAAGATGGTTTAAAAAATGCTAAAAATCATGGCACATATGAGGATTATAATTACCTTGAAATTAATGATCAACTTTGTCCTAAACATTACTTATCAATTGTACAATCAAGTAGAAATAAATCAAATAATCAAAAAAGAAAGTCATGAGATTTTGAAGATGATAATAATATTATTGAAATTGATGACATTATAGAAGATGTTGATACTAATAACACTGAATTCAAATTATCTGAATTGTTAGGAAACTTAATTAATGATAATCAAATAAACCTAGACAATTGGTCAAATATAGATGTTGATGTTCAAGATGATGCAGTATTGTTATCTAGAAATGATTTTGATTGCCTAATGAATAAAATAAAAGAAATGCAAATAAAGGTTAATCAATATGAAAATAATAAAGAGTACTTAAATCAATTTTGTAATAAATTTGAATTACTATCTGATCTTTTATACATAAGGCAAAGAAACTTAAATTTAGATGTTGAATTGGATCCAGAAAATTTCAAAAATATGATTGAGCAACATGAGCCAGAGCTAAAAGGTTTTTTTGATGAGTTGGTTCACATCTTCTTATCATTTAAAAAATCTGGAGATAATAAAGATAGTATAGAAAATGCCAAAAAATCACTTGTAGGATTCTGTTACTTATTAGTTGGATTAAAAAATCAACAAAATAATTCACTTCAGTTAGAAATAGGACTCTACTTATCTGCTTCTGGTGCAACTGTAGAATGTATTGATATAATGTCAAGATTAGGAATTTCAGTGTCTTATAAAACATTAGATAGACATAAGAAGAAAATTTCTAGTAATCATAAAGAAAAAATTAATAATTATTTTGAAGAGAATGCAAGTAAACTATTTTGTTTTAATATAGATGATTACCATTCAATCCATGGTTACAGAAATCCCAACACAACAACGCTTTCAACAGCTTGTCATATGGCTACTTGTGTTTCTAAAACTGTAAAAGATAGTAATGCTGTACCAGCATATGTTGATGGCATTCCAGTACATAACCCTAAAAATATTGAAGCAGATAGGATTATTAAATATTTAAATGATAAATATTTTAGTTCATTAAGTATAAGTTATAATGCAGTAAAACATAGTTGGCTGAGAAATAATGCAGCTACCTTTGAACAATTTGATAGACTAGATCTTTTGTCAATTCATTCATATAATTATGCCATAGAAAGTCTTCGTAATGATAGATCTATGAAAAATTGCCATTTAGTTGGTATCAAAGAATTAAATTTAAAAAATTTGGATGATTATTTAAATGCTCTTAAAATGATAACTGGAATTCCTTCTTTAAATAATTACCTACAAAATAATATTATACCAGTTATTGCAGACTTCCCAGGCCAATTATTTATACGTAAAGCAATAACTCTTCTTCATAAACATCAAAATCAGCAAAATAATAATTTTCACCAAATACCTTCAATAATCAATAATTTTGTTCCAATTCTTGGTCCATTACATGTCTCATTGAACATGAGGGAAAATATAGTGGTTGTGCATTGGGACTTTTTTGAAATAATGTATAAATCAGTCTTTGGAATTAATAAAGTGTTGGCAGCAAAACCCAAGCCCTGGAGAATAAATCAACTCCTTGAACTTCTTAGGTCTGCCTGGATTGAAGTCTCTTCAGAAATATATAAAAAATTTGGTGGTGTGTGTAAAGATTTGGAATATCAAACAATGATAGATCTTTTGGATAATTTGATTCCAGCTGCATTGGACATATATGCTATTATTTTTCAATCAGGTTCTTTTGAAGAATACATAGATACAATTTTTAGATTATGGAGCTTTGCTTTAAGATGGAAACGGAAAAATTATAATAAAATACCACTTGCCTTTCTTTCCGATTATTTCTACTGGAAAGACAACAACCATCCATTTCTTGAAGCAATTCAATCTCAACTTGTTAATTTCAATGACTACTATGTTGAAAATTGGCATAGTAAAATTAGAGCTAATACCAGTCCACAATATTCAGCTGAAGCAATAACTTTACAAGCATTAGTATTAGATGCTCAGGATCAATCATTTATCAACACATTTAAAAAATTGAAAAAATGCCCTTACAAAGAATCCATGTTTAATTTTCTTAAATATAAAACAAGTTTGTTCTTAATTGATTATTTTCATAAAATTTATCTAAATGTGGGAGGAAGTAAAAAACTTAGCAACAAAGAATATTACTTAAAAACATTAAATAAAGAAGTCAAATCAAAGTGTATTCCAACAGGATATCATACCCAGCAACCACAATCTTATAATAAATGTGATTATTGTTATTCTAATTTTGAAGATAATTATGATCAAGATGCAATAATGTTAATATGTGGTCATGCATTTCACAAAAATTGTTATGAAATGAAAAAAAAATCAATGTACCTATTGCTTGGAATTTTATAAAGAAGGTATAATTTCCAACGTAACTTCTTACATAAAAAGACTAGGAAAAGAAAATTTGAATGAGTTGTTGAATGAAGATGAAGAATTCCGCATAACAGAAGATGATGAAGAGGTGGAGGAAGATATAACTGAAGAACAAATAATAGCTTTAGACTTTAAAAATGCTTTTGATTTAATTAAAGATTGGTAAATTTCAAAATAAAAAAAAATATTTAAACTCAAATAAATTGTGTGCATATGTGTAGACCTTACTCCAAACTTTAGTTCATATCTAACTTTTGATCTAGTGAGTATCTGGGGGATCTTGGTTAACCAAACAGTAAAGACAAAAATAACGAATATTTCCATTCAAAAAAATATATATTTGCTACACCAGTTTTTTCACACATATACATCTTTTTTCTATTTTAAAACAATTGAAAATTATTTGTTACACTGTATAAATTATTAAATGTCACATTCGTCACATTTGATCTGCAACAGTGTCCATTATGCTGGTAATATTAGTATTAGTGAATATAAATAATACCTGTTTCGTATAAAATCAAAGACACTTAATAAGTGAAATAAATTGTGTACTATATAATAAATTTAATATATAGTCCTCACTCTGTCTCTCTTCAATCTCTTTAATATAAATTTTTAAATAGGTAGCTATGTATTTAATTATTTAAAACAAAATTTTAATTAATATTAAATTAATATTTAATCACCTGATTTGATGGTCTATAAAATTAGCATTGCTTCCATTCTCATTTTATATGTCACATCTTTATGTTTTCTTTTATATCTATTATATCTCTCATATAGTTTATAAGAATTATAGCATTTTGAACATATTATCTTGCTTATATTTGTTTAATTCATAACCAACTAGTTCAGCCTTTCCTTTTCCTTGTTCTGAAATATTTCACCACTTTGAGACATCTTTTTCTATTTTTCAAACGGAACAAAAACCAACAGACGTTTTAGTAATGACTTGCAATCAAGGAATAAAATTTGTTACTTCAGAGAATGTTGAAGTGAAAAGAGTATACTTGTAAAATTTGAAAGGTTGTTATTTAGTGTACTTGCACCTGTCTCATAAGTGTTGCCCGTCAGTCATCTATTCTAAAACAATTAAGAAATAGTCGATATAATATGTATAATATAAAGGAATGTCCACCATGTTTGCGAATAATAATGATCGCGTTCAAGAAAAATTGTGATTGGCAGGCTCCGTATTTAGTATATAGGAAGATCACCCACGTGTTTTTCGCGTTCAAACAAAACAATGTCTTCTTCTTCAAATCAAAGACAACAACGATTAAGAATTCAAAAAGGTTGCAGCAGCAATAACAATTCACACAACAACAACAGTTTTTACAACCGTAACAACAGTTTTTACAGCAACAACAACAACAATTCCTACTTTAACAACAACATTTACACTTGCTGCAATTACAACAGCAGCAAAATTATATCATAATCAACCACCAGTTATAAATTGCAATTATTTCAACTGCAATGGCAGATATCATTACCATCACTATTACAATAACAATGATTGTAGCAATAGTAATAGTAGCAATAGTAATAATAATATTGGTTCGATTTTTGAGTTACTAAATGGCAAGTTGATCTCATTCACTCCAATTTTTATTATTAGATTCATAGTAGCAGAGGCAGTAGTTTAAATTTTTTTTCGTTTATTTTATTATTAGTACACAATTATGAATAGTGATGATGATTAATGATACTGATGATAATTATACTGATGATGATGATGATGATACTGATAATGATACTTGTGTAGATTCTGATGACACTCAAATCTAAATAAATTTATTATTATTATTACAATTGATTAATTAATATACAATGCTTACTTAATTCCATCACCTAACATTTGAATATAATTTGATGCATAGTCAACCCGAACCCCATTAATCATGAAATCCTGTTAAAATGAACACTATTGTACCGGAAGGGTCACTTGGCTTAAAAAAGACCACTTCATAACAGGTTAAATTCCTTTGTAAAAATCGGGCTCTCATCCAATACTTCTAGTGCTTGAACTAATAACTCTCTCAATAATAAAATGACAAATACCACAATACATGAATATTCTTAAATTGTAATATGTTTCGCTCTTTGTGGTTACGTGGTGGAATTGTTTTACCGAAACTATGCCCTGTATCCTTTGTCAGTACTAAATGAGTTAAGAGGTAATAACGATTATAATAATTAATTAAATGAGTTTGATACTTAAATTATTTCTACATAATTCTTTTAATAATACCTACTTTTTTGTTGCTCTTGCGTCAGAGTTTCTGATTTGAAAAATAATAAAAAATACAATTATTATTATCGAGCCCGAAATTGTACTTTTTCATCATTTGGCATGCCATCATTAGAAAGTTGTCGAAACTTTACAAATATAATTCTCGGCATACAGACCAAGCATATGCGCTACCTTAGAACTTCCATTCAGATCACTCGCCATCTAGGCAATCAAATCTAACGCTTTTGTACGGCATGAAAATGTGATTGTGATAATTCGCTTTCCCTCTTCCACTCAATAAATATTCCATGAGCTTTTCAGATCAGTTAACACTCCAAAAGACTTTAATCTTGTCATTTACATAAAGGTCAGCGGAAAACATTTCAAAAATAGTCTGGTGTTAAATTAGAAATAATTATTCCAAACATTTTTCTTTTCTGATAATATTTATCCATGTATACCGTTCCAGTTGGTTCTTTGCTTTGTTCCCTCACACTGTCGTTGTTTGGTCATTTTCTTTTTAAAAATGAGGACCGCTGATAATACATATTATAACCGCTAAGAAGGCATATTTGCAATTCTCATCATTTTCAGTAGCCTACTTTTACCTTAGCCTCCATTGGTTTGCTATAGCAATGCTCCTGACCAATGTCATAAGTGACATTTTCCCAACATAAGTTACAGCAATGATAATGCATTTTTGAATAGTAACAGCAGATTTTTGTATTTCAAAAATATGATTGGTAATCAGAAAAAGGACCAACTTCGTGAGCAAAGGTGCCTTAATATAGCATTCCAATTTGATGTTTTTGGTTCTTTTGATTTCTCATCTAAAGGTTCTACAAATATTATTATTGATTTTTGAATTTAATAAATTTAAACCTTAATATACTTGGAAAAAATTCAAATGTTCATACTATTATGATATACATTAAATCTGACAAATGGCAATATGCATTATCTGTTGACATTTGGTACATAATTGTATCTTTTCTTATAAATTTGAAAAAGAGCTAATTGCTATTTCGTGCCCAATATGGATGTCAATGTTTAGTGATAAAAAAGGATCGTCATAGAGAAAATTGTCTATTGATCAATAAAAAAATAAAATTATTGATTTTAAAAAAAAAAAAATATATATATATTAGATCAATTAAAATATACCATTTGAATCAATTATGATGCAAATGCTGTACTACACCCATGATAAAAAAGCTATACCATTATTTTTATCATTATCACATCTTCAAACCTCTTTACAAATATTTTCTTTTCTCAGTTTCCTCCACAATCTTCATTCACTATTAATACTTTCTTCGTAAAAATACTCGGATACTTTTAGCGATGGTGCTTCTGATGACGATGTTTCTGGCAATAATGTTTTGGGAGATAATGACATTGTTTTTGATGGTGCTGTTGTTGATTATGATGACGAGGCTATTTCTGATGTTATTGATTCATTATCAATTCTTTCATTATTTTACTGTGCCATTCACAAATATTCTACTCCTTATCAAGAGCATTTTTTTGAAGCTGAAAAGAATAGGACATGTTCAGTTAGATTTATTTTTTTTTAACTAAGAAAATAGTTAATCAGATATACAGTTGATTCGATCTAGACACACAACACCGCTCGCTACATTATACATTCACTCTTGGTGTAATTATTAGTTTGTCAAAGCCTTTGAGATGTTGACATTAAGATACCAATGGCTAAATTTAGAGATACCAAGACTGACATTATTATAAACTCTCAACAAGCCATTATTTGTTACAATCTTTTAATTTATGTATATATATCATCATTATACAGCATGCCACGCCCATCTAGTTGGCATCTCATCGTTAGACATCTAGTGATTTACTACAGCAACTCTTATCATTGTCAATAAATAATTGTAAACATAAAAAAAAAATGATACCTGCTTGTTGACTCAATTAATCTACTATATAAAAATCATTAAATGCTACTCTTTTGTTCAATGGTAAACTTCGCCGTCTGCAAGTTCCTCATCAATATCTGTAAGATAAATTGTTATATCTTTATGGTTTTTTTGGTTTTTTCCTCAATATATTTTTTTAAAATTTCCAAACATTATTTTATTGTTTAAAGAAAAAATTAAAAAAAAACCCCCAAAGTGATAATCTGTGTTAATACCAATTAAAATTATTTGCACGCGACAAATTAGTATATATTACCGACTTCACTATTATTGTTGTATTACATTGAACGTCGACTGTACTTCATGGCATGTTGTTTGATAAAACAAAAAGTTGCAATAATAAGTTATGAAAAAAAAATTTTTTGTTCATTTTAGAACATTATTATTATTTGGAGATGATTGCATAACATGAATCTTTTATTTTTTTTAATTAATGAAAAAATATATCAGTCACATCTTTTTATAATATTATAATGCTATCCTATTATAATTTTTTATGTTCGGGATGCGGCAGTAATGGTAAATGGCAATTTATGAAACTTGGATCGGGTTAATTGACTAGGACACACTTACTAATGGCGCAAAAAATAAGAACATTTAAAGTGAATTTTTCGAGAAATGTCAAATATGTTTGTGAATTATCATCTAAAGTTTTATTAATTAAATTATTATCTTTATAGCTCTAGACTGTAACAAAAAGATTTACATGTATTCGTATTCAATACACAACATGCAATCAGATTATATGTATACGAATATTATAAAATTAAAGTATAATTATATAAATGAAACTATTTTAGCAGAAATTAAAGAAACTTTTAAATATGGCCAGGAACGAGCTCTGTCCGCCTTTTATAGTATCTTCATCACTAAGTATACTATTTTTGTCATCGACATCGTAACTCATATCATTAATTGTCACTCCAGGCATTATTTCAACATAATGTCTTTTAAAAAAGTCCAACCAGATTAAAACATCTTCAATAGTTGTCATAGCACCTACAGATAAACGAGCAGCGCCATAATGTTTTCCTTTGTATATATCTTTATCATCATTACAAGTTTTTCCCTCGTAATAATTTTCAATAACATCCGAAGAACGAACTCCACACCACCTTGTAATACTACCAGGGTTACAATTACCACCAGATCTAATATGAATACCATTTACGCTAGCGAGTTTTTCTATATCAAAATAACCAAGATAAGTGCCATCTGCACGTTTTACGTTAAAGCTAAATATACCGCCATGTTGCTTGCTATCTGAATAATCTCTGTCAGTATTCACTATGCAGACTCTTTTCCCATTCCAATGTTTAAACGATTTCATATTTCTACTAAGGAATGTGATTAAACTGGACACGTGCATCGATATATTATCACAATTTGTATACATTCTTTCAAATGAATCAAACGCGTGATCTAATGCGATTATATTTAAGAAGTTGACGGTTCCATCTTCGTAACGTGTTGGCATATCTTTGGAGAATTTTTGCCATGGTCTATCGTAAGCGACCGATTCAATTGTGCCACCACCAAAATAATCTTTTTGTAGAATTGGTTCCAATTCATTTTTTACTATTAAAGCTCCTAACCCGGTTGGGAATCCAAATATTTTATAAAAACTGAGGATAACGAAATCTGGTGAATTTTTTTTGTCAGCTAGAGATAGCGGAGATGTTGGGACATAAGCTGCTGCGTCTAATAGCACCAATGTTTTTTCACGTTCGGTATCTAATTTCTTGATTTCACGAGACCATTTCAAGGGAAATCTCATTCCAGAGAAATTACATTGAGCTGGATACGCAAAAAGGTTATACGTAGGATTACGCCTTGATTTTTCTGATATCTCACGGTTTTTAGGTATATAGTCAGGTTTATGAGCACTTTTAATCATTGAAACTACATCAGATTCGGTTAAACTAACAATATTTTTCGGGTTAATTTTCTCAACAAATCTTCTTAAACCATTGATACTATTGTGAGATTCTCTTAAATACTTATAAGTGCTGTGTTTTGACCAAGGAATCATTTCTCCGACTAATTTAGCAGCACTGGTGGCATTTGCAGTGAAAATTACACTGTAGTCTTCATCGTTAGTATTAAAATGTCTAAGAATTCTTTTGCGAACTTCTTCAATTCGTGCAGAGCTTGCCCTTGAGCTTGGTGAATTTGAATGAGGATTTCCGTAAAGATTAGATAACAAATCACGGCCAAAATTTTTAATGGCAGACTTGGCATATGTCGTTGAGCCTGTATGGTCGAGGTAAACTGCATTTTTTAATTGTGGATATTCCTTCTCGCGGATTTGATCTATTTTACCATTGTATCCATATCTTGTTGAGAATTCTTTTAAAAAATTGAATTTTTCTGCACGTATTCTTTCAAAATTGGTTCCTTGTTTGCGTGAGTTAATCATATCTTGTTTTTCGTTTAAAGGAGGTGACATCTTCATTTTGAATTTGTTTTAAAAAGTTGGATTGAATGAAAGTTTTGTTTTTTTTTTCGATTCGAATTTTGATCGGTTGGTTGGTTGAAGTTATTTAACGGCTCAAATGGTTATCAAGCTTATTTGAATAGATATAAAAAAGGGATGTAGCTCATAAATTCGTTATATGATATTCAAATAAGATAAACAACCTTTTGAACTGTTAAATAGCTTTGGTTCGAAAAATTAATGTTCTAATGTTGCTTTGTGAATATATTGAAATGTTTTTTTGGATTCTTTCCTTCTTATATAACGAATAATTATATTAATAACCATTTTGCGGGGTTCTAAAATATCACATGAAATCATAATTCTTCTTCTTATACTAAGATAAATCAAATGCATATCGGATTATTCATATACGGAGGGAAATTAATTTATACTCTCGTTGTTTAAGTTGTTAATCGAATTCTATTTTTTTTTTTTTTCATTGTCTTCATTATTTAATTTCCGGCAGAATTGATAGTCTTGGACTCCTGAATCTGATAAATTCATTTTGGAAATTCATATGTGCAGATCCCTTGGTTTATATATATATAGTAATGAGACAATGATCTTGATTAGCCAATAATATTTAATATCGAGGTTGAAACGATATAATTAATGTTAGAATCCTGAATTGTTTTTCAATTGTAGAAATTAAAATGACTAAACGGTACTTTTTGATTGTAAATCTTTGTTTCAGTAGGTGAAATGCAACCACATTTACATTATCGGCTAAATGTAAGAAGAGAATGGAGAGTAAACATGAGATACAACTAAATTGATTGAAGTTTTTGAAGCATTGTGATTTAGTGAATTATCACAATTATCTTTGCTTGGCATTATTAACTATTATTATATTGATAGTTTATTAAAAGATAATATAATTATCGATTTATAATGAGCAGACGTAAAGGGTGTCTTTGAATAATATAATTAGAATTGTTCATTATTTAAAAAAGAAACTCTTTAAAAAATTATAATTTTTTCGATATAAAACGTACTGACTGGTAATAGTAATAGTAATATCTTTTGTAAAATATTGATATAAATTTATACGCACGTATTTCGTTTCACAAGCAGGGCTGGCTACATAACTCAAATGAGCACTTGGCTAAACTTGACTAAATTATTTAGTGTTGTCAATCAGGGTATGCCATGTTATACATATTTCGGGCACATTATCTTTTTAAATTTTAATTATTTTCAAAATCAAAATCTTCAATTTCTGGACCACGTTTTGACTGGTCATATTAATATATATTAATATAGTCAAGACAATTATTACTAAATTAGTATTTTTCCCCTTTACGCAAGCCAGCCCTAACCACGAGGGATTATCTCTCTTCACTTAGTAACCATATTTAAAAGAAAAATTAATAATTGATCATAATAATAATTAAAAATAACTTTGATAATCCTTTTTTTTTTAATGTGTACCCCGGAATTAGAATTTAACGCTGATCCATTATCATTGTAATTGGTCAAGACATTCTAATTCCGAATTGAATTAAATCAACCTTGTGACCACGTCAACTAAACTTTAAATATAAATAAATCCTAGTAAATTTTCCCACACCAAAAAATATGAAACTTGACACTCATTCTTCCCATTTCTCAGAATATATAACATTCTGAGAATTGAATGAAACGGATTCAGAATGTTTTTGTTGTACGACTTTGCTTTTTTTTTTTTTAATCATTTAATTTTATTTCACATAATTCATATAACGTCATAATTATTTAGTGTGCTTAAAACACAAAAGCGTGATTATACAAGAAACACACAAGCGTGTTTAAAGTACAAAATTGTGTTGAGGTACAATAATATGTCGAAGACATGAAAACATAATATTGCGATAAAAGCACTTCTAATTGAACTAATTGTATACAAGAAGCCGATATCCTTGTAAAATAACTTTGGAATAAAGTTTAACTTGGAAATAAGTTAATAAATTAGTTTCGACTAATAAACATTTAAAGCTAATTCTTTAGTAATAGCCAATTCATTCCGATACACATAATCATAAATTTACCATAAATTAATACGGTCTCCCAAGTAATAATTGGTGACAGTAATTAGACTGCCAAACTTTGATTATATATTAATCAATGAAATTCGAATTGTACCCTGATTCGATTCGAATATTAAATATATATAATTTGATTCGAACTGATTCGATTCATTTTAATTTGAACTGAGTTGAATGTATAATTTGATTCGAACTGATTCAACTCAACTCGATTCGAATTAGTGATGGTGGCCGAAACTATGCTTAATTGCCGAAATTGATTGGCCTAAACTTTGACGAAACTAATTTTAATGGCTGAAATTGTGAGTTTTTAAAATAAAGTAGATTGATTTAGATTTAGATACTTATTGGACGAAACTATCTTTTTTTCAAAACAGTTTTGCTACCATCACTAAATAATATCCTTTATCGATTAAAAAATTTAAAATATACACAATTTTGGTTTAGCAGATAGTTTGTGTTTAGAAATTTTTTTCCAAAAATCCGTTATTATTATATTCAAACCTTGTCACAATGGACCATAATAATAACTAATTCTTATCATAACAGATTTTTAAAATTTTTGCTTCACATATAAAACCATACAAAATTTTTCTTATTATTATGTCTCTCGTCTATCCGTTGTGACTACATCGAGAAATCCATTATATTGAGAAGAATTTTATTATTATTATTATTAATTATTATTAAACCTCAATCTGTTATTATCATTAAATTGAGATACACTAAATTGAGATTCATTGTATTTAATATGACATTAAGAAAAATTTAGGAATCCGGTTTGATTCGAATTGACTACTGAACGAATCAAATCAAATCGCTCTAAAATTCGATTCGATCCAATTCGATTCGTTCGGAGCCTTAAGTACTACTGCCTTTTAATGTGTATACTCCACTTAATATCATTAATTAAATATTCATAAGTATTCAAATTATTGTGAATGAATTCTGTAAAATTTAAATAAAAAAAATTTTTACCTGGAGCAATAATTGCATCTTGCCTTTCCATCTATGGTTGTAAAATGATTCCACGCAATGCTTCTTGTTCTTCTTTGAATAGATTGTGCTGTGCTTATTGAAGAAATTGAAGAAGTTGAAGAAGCATCATTTTCGACCATGAAATCGTTATCATTCATTAATAATATTATATTAGTACTTATTATGAATTGCACAACTGTAAATCGTGTTACTTTTTTACTCTTATCATTATAAATAATATAGGTATTATTATGGAAAAATGAAAAATTCGAATAAATATCATATCAAAAAGAATTTTATTATCATTAAACCATTCTTAGACCTCAATCCATTAGTATTCATTTAATTGAGGCACATTAATTGAGATACTGTGTAATATAAATTTAAAATTATCAAATTAAAAATATAAATTTAATATGACGTTAGGAATCCGGTTGATTCGAATCAATTCGAATCGAGTCACCATTCGATTCGTTCGGAGCCTTAGACAGACTCATATAATAATTATTAGAAAACTGATTTTATTTCTATTCAATAAATTCCCCACTCTTGGGTGTCCCGGTACCATGTTTAAGAATCCAGAGTTCCTTCCTTTATGAAAATTTCTTGAATGAAACCTCTTGTGAAATTTATCATTATACATGTTTCTTTCTTATTGTTGTCAAATTTTCATTTTCGCTGATATCAATTATTTTTAATGTAAAGTGATTTATAAAACATTAAAACTAACCAAACTATAACACAAGTATACAAGCGCACTATTTAATCAAAGAATGTGTGACTAAAAATATATATAATAAGCAAAGATGATAGACTCAAAATCCTTGTATATACCTCTATGGTTCATTTGGTAATTGGAAACCCCTGTTAATCCGATTTTTTTTCTATTCGTTAATTTACCCCAATAATCCGAAACTTTATTTTAACCAGACAGATACTGATCTTCAATCCTCCTCCTGTTAATCCGTTAAACAGAAGAAAAATGGCTTTCGGATTAACGGGAGTTGCCTATGTATGTAGATAAGTAATTTCTTGGTCTTGAAAGATCCATCACAATTCTGTGATGTAAAAGAGAACCCATTATTGTTATCAAGAGTTCCAATAGAACCAAAGAAATAATAATAATAAATTAGCTTGTTTCTTTCATTATGATTTTTTTTCTTCTAACTATATACGTCAGAGAATTTTTATGGGTGATTTTTAATATTAAAACTAGATATCACTTACATTGTTGATTTTATTTGTATTACAGAACAAATAAATAATGATTTAATAAAAGAGATTGCGAAAAATAATGGTGTAAATAATTAAATAAAGGACTTTAGACTAGTATTATTTGTAAAGTATTGCAAGCGTGCATATGTTTGAGGTTGTCCGATAAGTTATATTAATAAATTGTCGCAAGCTTCCAAGCCCACAATGTAGTCTATCTTCACTATATGTGTCCGCGCCTCAATACGATATAGCTACCAAATTACTTGCGATATTGTATCTGGCCTCCAACACGATACCATTACCAAATAAAAGAAACATATACAAATATACCAGTTGAAGCATCCCTGTAGCAACATTCATAGTAAAATCAAAAGGTAATTGAAGGTTGACCAAACCATTAATCATTAGAAAAGGGTTACAAAACAATTCACAATTGTTTTGCCTCTCCAACTATGCAAAAATTTGTTTATTATTTTATAATTAATAATATCATTTTATCCAATAATATTAGTTAAATCTAATACAATTTCATTTATTTACAGACAAGAAAAGTTTTTTTATTCTTAATTAAAAAAATATGGATATAAAAAACAGAACACATTCTTAAAAATGACAATGCAAATATGGCTATGGAAGGAATAGCATTGCCAACCAACGTGAATACCTTTTCTACTTCAAATCTTTGGTTATTGTTTTTAATATAATCAATCAAACATTCACTTTCTCGCAATAAATTATCCACTCAACCAAGATTCAATCAAATATTAATATTATCTATATCGATATTAAAGATTCACCTATTAAATATGTCACAAATTCCACAATCTATTTTTTAATTATTTTTTTTTTATATTAAAAAAAAAAGATATATTATTAAAAATAAACAAATATATGTATAAGCATCTATAATATACTTTACATTGATTTGATACTGTATTGGTTTTCTATTATCAGAATATGATGATTTTATTAAAATTTTTTATAAATATTCTTATTATTAATGTCATTATGCCAATAAAGTTCAACACGATTTGTGCTATGTCCCCAACTTTCACCTATAATTAGTTATCATTATTAATTAATTAATGCAGTAATTTAATACTTAATGAAGGAACTAAAGTTGTTGAATTCCCTTCTGACCTTTCTATTTTTGTTGTTAATTGATCAAGTAAAACAATCTATATTATCAATGATGATAATATTTATTATAATATATATTAATATTCATATACCATTATCAATCAATTAGATTGATTAATGAGCACATACTTCTAAATCAAATTCTGAAACGAATTTTGTTAAATTGAGTTCTTGTTGAATATCACGAATTTGTGAAAATAAATATGAAATTGAATCTATTGATTTGATTTGTAAATTTTCCAGACATATTTTTACCGAATGGTTGATATCAATTCAAAATTTAATAGGAATTATTTAAGCAGTTTCTCTAACAATTTCTGTTGCTTGATCAGGATAAAAGTTCCTTCAGTGTCTTAAAAGCATATATATATATATATTAATATAAACATTTATCTTACTTGCGCCTTCTATATAATCATATAAACATAATTGTATTCTAGTCGGGTCAACAACAAAAATATATTAATTTGAATATATCCACGCATAACAATTAATCTTTTTTTTAAACATATCTAACGTATATATATAATGTTCAAGGAAAAAAGATTTTCGTTTTTCTCTCTCTTTTCTTTAATACTTACCCTAATGTTGTCTTGGTAACAGTCAGTGTACCATAAAATTCTGTGATTTTGCCAAATTGAATATTATCTCTAAATAATGATGTATGACAAAACTTGACTTTAGTCATTGATTTAACTAAAGTATTGACTAAATGTAGTTTCTCACCAGGGCCATTTTGACGATTTGATTAAAGTAAAAGCTCTTGACGTAATTAAAAACGCTCGACGTAATTAAAAAACGCTTTATAATTATAAAATAGGATCCAAGTTATGTAAAAATGTGTGTCTTGATGATAATAAAGAATAATTATATTATTGTATGTATATTGCAATGATGCAAGAAGAATAATTATCATGGGAAGTTTACAAATGTTATAATTTGAATTAGAATTTTTGCTTAATTAAGTCACTTATTTTTTCCGTGTATTATCTTTCAAAATAAAATACCTCTTCTTTTTTATAAATTAAAACCATTCTTTTATTATTTATTACATTTCATAAAATGTAAAAAATCAAATTGTCTTTACATACATATGAGTTGTGTTAAATTGATGTTTTTCAAATTTTTGACTTTGAAGTTAACTACGCGTAATAGTAATACGCAATAATATTAATAATGTGATTGAGCTGTCTTTAGCGTCTGAGTTTGAAGCGATCAATAAATTTTGGTACATATTTTTGTAAGTTTTAATTTATTTTCTATTTTTATCACTTTCAAATCTTCAAAGAATTTCTTTATTGTTGAATCACGATAAATCGATCACTAGAGTTTGGTGATGATGAAGTTGTTCTTTAAACGATGCAAATTTCGTTTTTCAATTTTACATCCTTATCAATTTGAGAAAACTCGAGGCAATCAAAAAATGTTGAACGAAAAAATTGTTTGTTACACGTCATTCAAAAAAAAAGGTTATTCTCCACATTTATTAAAACACTAATTCAAAATTTTATATTTTTATATAATGTCACATGCTCAATTATTATCATCGTTATCAACAGAAAGAGAGGAATCTGTATTTAAAATTTATAATGAAATGCGTAATAATGCTAATGCTAATAATTCTAATGAAGAAAGTATAAAAGATTATTTTTTTTCACTGGTCAAAAAAAACAAGGAGCTTTCTGAAAATGAAAAAGAATATTGTAAAAAAGAGTTTGTTTATACATTGGAATTAGGTAATGCAAGAAATAAAAAGGGAAAACCAAAAGAATGTAACAAATGTAAATTGACAAGATACTCTTATAGGTTCTGTGAAGGTTGTATTAGTTTACAATTACAGAGTCTTTTCACCACTTGGACATCTGGAAATAACATAGTT